AAAATGTGTGTTTGTGTGTGTGTATTTTTAAGGTGGGTGTATATTATATATGCACTTACTTATATGTGTTGATATAATCCTACATTGTCAAAAATTTGAAAACTTACTTTGAAACAATGCACACTCCTTACTACTTCTCGGTGTTGTTTCACATTTAAATTGGCTCCAAAACAGGACTGATAAACAATACTAGATTAATATTTTTCTACATCCATCTTTGGCTCTATTTCTGTTACTTTCACTGAGGGTAGAATCTCGTGTGTAGAGTCACACAGATGGATGGTAGCGAGCAGTTGAAAACCTGTTGCTACATATTGCTGAGACCCCTCGCTTCCCAGTCACCCCTGTACATTTCTTGTCTAACTAGGCTGTCAATACCAGCAGTGCCCTGAATCCTCAGAGCCCATTGCAGAGCCATTACTCCATAAATAGTCACTAGATATTTAATTATAGCTTCTCTAGACTCCTCTTTTTCATTAAAAAAAGAGGAAACCATTCCCAGGTGGCCTCCCGTTGGCCCGGCTCACGGATGCTGCACTCTGCCAATTCATCTCACGCCGAAGCAGACTTGGCAGCAGTCCAGTGCGGGTACCGCTGAACGCCATCCTGTCTGGAAGATTCACAGCTGTGTGAGCATGTTAATTCCAGAACAACCTGTTCAAGTAGCGCACTGTTTTCTACACTTCCTCAATGTCAGAACCATTTTCCAACCCAACTAGAAGTTGTGATGTGTTATATGAAAAAAACTTTTATTTTTGGCTGTCAGAATCATATTGGTTATAGCCTACATATTTTTTCTAGTTAGCATTATAATGAATACATTCCCCAGATGTTGCATATGCTTTATCCTTTGTAAGAGCTGGCAGATAATCTATTTGAAGATAGTATTATCTTTAGGAAATCATTTATTGCCTGGGAGGTATCCTTCGTAACCCATCCTTGCAAGTCTGTACTGAACAGAACTAGGAGAAGGATTTGTTTTCATTATTCAGCACATTTCCTTGGAATACATTCTCAGAAGTGGGGTCAAGACGTGAATTTTTATGAATTTCTTACTGAGCATCGTGAAACAAAAATCCATTTGCTTTTCACAGATTTCAGGGCAGCAAGGCTGCACTCAGGAGGTTCCAATCTCGCTTCTCTGCTGCTGGGAGAACAGGGGCTCCGAGTGGGACAGCTGAGGAAAGGCACCAGGGAAGACAGGAGACAGATAATATTATCTCACTTTTAACAGATTTAAGATGCCCTTGAAGGCATTTATTCATATTTACCAATGTTACAGTCTTTACTGATACCCTGTGTGCTGGATAGCTTTAGTGTCAACTTGACACACCTGGGTTGAGGGAGCCTCCGTTGGGGAATTGCCTCCATAGGACTGGCCTGTGGCCATGTCTGTGGGGCATCTTCTTGATGAGTGATGTGGGTGGTGCCACCCCTGGGCAGGTGGGCCTGTGTTGCATAAGAAAGCAGGCTGAACAGGGGTCAGGGAGCAAACCAGTAAGCAGCGTTCCTCCATGGCCTGTGCTCCAGCTCCTGCCTCCAGATTCCTGCCCTGAGTTCCTACCTTGGGCTCCCTGATGAACTGTGACCTGGGAGATGTAAGACAAATAAACCCTTTCCTCTCCAAGTTGGTAGTGGTCACTCTGGGTAGTGGACACCCTGCACTTTCATTGTTGGGAGGGAACTCTTTGTAGCAGACTCAAGTACCCATATTCCTGTTCCTGCCTTCGAAGTGGGAACTTTGGCAGATTTCTTGGCTCAATTGAACAATTTGTCTCTCAGATATATTCAGTTGTGTAATTATCACTAGATAGTTATGTATACCATACTAAAACAAAAATCTAAACACCATGTTCATTAGTAGAAAATTGTTCTGACATACATAGTAAGAAGAAATTGAAATTATTTTCAAATTGAACCACGTAAATTTGGCCACATATGCTCCAACATACTGACACCAGCTGTTCTTACGGTTCTATGACTTGTTTTACATTTGTTCCAATAGGGCTTGATATTTTGGCTATTCACACCAAGAGGTGACAGGAAACGGAAGTTGACATTACTTTGGGTTACCTGAGCATATTAAAAACAATAGGGGAGGCTAAGTGCTGTTATCATCAGCCTGTAAATCTGTGTGAACAGCAGAGTCAGGCTGAACTATAGGTAACAGAATTTGGAGAGAACAGTGATTGAAAATTTTCAAATAGTCAATAGTTGGTTAATGGGTAGCATCTGTGATATCAAAACTCATATCCCGCATGTGAATGTGATACTTGATTATGTGGCTAAACAGGACTTGTCAATTGTCATGAGATGACATGGAACATCAAGCTGAATCAGATGACTCCAATAATGCTTGTTATTTGTGATAGCAATTCTAGATTTCAAGCATAATACAGGATGAAATTCCTGTAATATCGGTAGTCATTTTCTTTGTGTGCATGTGGGTATGTGTGCATGTGCCCATGTGTGTGTGGAGGCCAGAGGTCAACCTTAAGTATTGTTCCTCAGGAGTCATCCACCTTAATCAGACAGGGTCTTTCACTGGAACCTGGGGCTTGCCGTTTAGGCTAGGCTGGCTTACCAGAGAGCCTCAGGGGTCCTCCTGTCTCTGCCTCCCCAGTGCTGAGATTATAAGCACCCGCCACCTTGCTTTTTTATATAGATGTTCAGGATTGAACTCAGGTCCTCAGTGTTTATATAAGAACTTTATTGGCTGAACTATCTTTCCAACCCTAGTACCTGCTTTCTTTGTTACTTCCTAACAGAACATGTGGCCCAGGTGTGGTGGTGCTTGTCTTTAATCCTAGACCTCCGGAGGCAGAGGCAGAGGCAGAGGCAGGTGGATCTTTGTGAGTTCAAGGCCAGCCTGGTCTACATAGTGAGTTCCAGACCAGCTGGTGCTACAGAGAGACCCTGTCTCAAAAAGACCAAAAAAAAAAAAAAAAAAAAGGCCACAAAGTACATTTTAATAAAATGTTGGAAAAAAGCTTTTCTTTCAATGGACGAATTTGAAGAAGTTGACCTACAGAGACAAATTGTTCAACTGATCTAATTACTTAATTTTTATGTACTTCTATTTTCTCCTTTGAAAAGAGATAGCTACACTTTCCTTTTATGATTATTGTGAAAACTACATCCTAATTGAAACAAAGCCTGGCAATGCTTAACAGCACATTACCAGTTTAAGAATTTTTGGGCCCCCAGTACTTAAGGATAATAGCCCTTTCAGAATAATTAAAAAATAAAGATAAAAAGCTACCACCAAACAACTAAAAAGGTGCAAGCAAGGCATCTTTATTCTCATGAAGGATACTGTAATGCTTTAAAATTGTTTTTTTAGAAACAGCACATCAAATTCCTTAACATGATTTACCTCGTTGTCTTGGGCCAGCCATGCTTTGCCATATTTTAACCAATACCCAGCTTGGCCATGAGCATTTCAATACAAGTGCTCAGTGTTTTTATTAGGTGACAGTGATGATGATCATGATGTCGATGATGATGATGATGACAACAATGATGACAGTGTCTCTCCCAAGCTAAAATCAGGAGGCTCAGCATCTAGAAATTTAATCATAACCTCATGGAGAGCTAGGAGGTCTGCAGAGATTACTCATCAACAGGAGAGAGGTTAACAATGAGTTTGAGAAAGATTAACAAAATTTCTAATTGCTCATTTGTGACTGTGCCTGGATATGAGAAAGTGTGTATAGAGAGGCCATGGGACTCTGCTAAGGGTAGAGATGTAATACCAGACTTCACCAAAGCCCTTCTAAGAGGACTTTTAGGTGTGTCTAGAGCAAGAAGCTCTTTCTGCAGGCCCTTACATACCAATCTGATGAGGACCAGAGCCTTTCTGGTTCAGATAAGAAGAGAGGGCCCAGACGAGAAATGTGACTGCTGTCCAGACAGCAAAACATTTGTGCTTATTTCATGCTCCAAATTCTCTTGAGAATTCTGTTGATCTGATGTAGCTATAAGTGCTGATTGGCCCTTGGTCTCTGAGGCAAGACCTGGACTGTGGGATCCTATGGAGGCATTGCTGGGTGGAAAGCCATGCCGAACTGATGGGTCACTTTTCTCTGTAAGGCGCTCTTGGCTCCATTTGCTGTGAAAGCCAGGCTAGTGATCTGGAAGGCTGCTTGCTATACTTGAGGTTTAGTTTTTATAATTAGAACATGAAAAGGAGAGACCAGATAGTAATGTGGACTATCACTGATATAACTGTGGAAAGGAATCCCTGACCTTGAGCTTTCTCGGGGGAGTCTGGATCCTAAAAATCTTATTCGGGTATTTTTGTCTTTCTGTACTATATTCATAAGAACTGTGTCCCAAATGTTATTTTTAGGTATTCTGCAAATAAAAGATTCTTTAGGTTAAGAAAAAGAAAAAAGCCATCATATCAAAGATATGATTATACTCCAGAGTACGAAAGTCTGTTTAGCCGAGTGTTCCTTAAACTTACTTGGCACTAATAGAAGTCTACTGGGACATTTACCATAAGGGAATTGACGTGCATTACTTTGAATCAGTGAACTTGTCTGTCCTCAGTTGGCCTTTCCCTTATTCCAGGTTGCTCAGCAGCTCCCAGAATATGGAGTGCTGGTTCATCAGGTTTTCCCTGAGAAGAAGAGGCCAGAAGGGGAGATGGCCTTGGGGGTCTGTGCCAAAGGTGTCATAGTCTACAAGGTGGAAACCAACAGCAGAATTGCAGCATCACAGTTTCCATGGAGAGAAACTGGGAAGATTTCAACTCAGGTAAGTGAAGCTCAGTTGATAAGTGAGCTGTACTTGTTTTCCTTTGGTCCGCTGCCACTTTAAGGGGCGGTGGTTATATGACTGTCCCTTGACAAATGTGCTCACAGCCTGTTTTCTGGTACACTGAGGTCTTTGGAGTATTTTGCTAGGGGCTTCTGGGAGGTCCTCAGGAAGCCATTTCTTCCTACTCCCACTTGTAAGCTCCCTCACAAGCTTCTATAAATAGCCTGTAGTGGAAAGGGCTGCACTTTCCCTCTGGACTGTTTACTTAAACTGGGGAGCCCATCCAAGCTGAGAGCAAGGTGAAGTGGGAGATGGAGGAGGGGAACGGGCAGGGTTTTGAAACATCTATCTGTTTCTGTCTCTGCCCAGGCACCTGATGTCTTTCATAAACTTTAGGTGTCCTGACAGACAATGAATGCCACAGACCTTCGATGGCCCTCGAAAAATTTAAAGACTTAAAAAAAACCCCAGAAAATCCAACTCACCATGCATTTGCAATCGTATTTAAACACCATTTGTACCATTCACCTCCTGAATTCAGTTCCTATCAGTTTGGCCCTGGGACCCTGGTAGGTGACTGTCCCTCCCTGCCACATGGCTTATCCAGGCCAGTGTTTGGGTTTCATTTCTAACTCATTTTAAGACAAAATTCTTTTTCTTGTGACCTATATGCTTTACATTTTTTTCTATTTAATTTTCTCCTACTATTTAAAAAGTTCTATTAATTAGATTATTTTTATTATCTGATGTTAGTTTCCTAAGTAAAACATAATTTTTCTTCAATTTCTGAGTATTTCTTTTTTTGTTCTTTTATCTTGGAGTCAATATATTGTCGAAGTACGATTTCCTAATAACTTATCATTTATGGTTAGGAAAAGAAAGCTTGTCTGGAAATACAGGAACTAATTAGAATAGTTTGAGTTCATTAAACTGGCTTGTGTTTTGTCAAGATATTCATGAATTTTTCAGAATTTGGGTTATTTAAATCACCTTAATTCAATTGAAAAATATTTTAAAAATTAAAACTTTTGAATTAAATTCAATACAATTTCATTATTTCTTTTCTATTAAATTTTTTTTCACGTATTTATTTTTATGTGTCCATGTGTTTTGCCTGCATTTAAGTGCACCCACATTGTGTAATACCTGAACAGGTCAGAAAAGGGTGTTGGAGCCTGTGGAACTAGAGTTACAGATAGTTGTGAACTGCCAAGTGAGTGCTGGGACCTGAACCCAGGTTCTCTGCAAGAGCAGCCAATGCTTTTAACTGCTGAACCATCTCTCCAGGCCCTACATTATTTCTTATTTTCCTTGCTGCATGTTTAACCAACCAAAGTTTTCAATGTGATTTCTCTAAAACATTTGTAAAAATTCAGATGCTCTAAGTAGTAGTTTTGAAACATGGAAATGTTTGAGCCCATAAAGCTCAACAGCCTCCGGGTGTGTTTAATTTTTACAGGTGTATATTTTCTCAGTACTAGGGCTTTTTTTTTTTATTAAATCTGAGAAGTTATCAAATTCACAAGCTCAAAGAAGCTATTTAATTAGGGCTTCCATCTCCTGACAATCTTCTTCCTTGGCATGGATGGCTTGTTGTGCTGGAAAGTCATCCTGTGATGTAATATCACCAGCTGCTTATCGCCAGTTAACTTCTTCCTCAGAAAATGATGAGAACTCTTCGTGCTTCTGCAAGCCCCATGTAATGAACTCTTTGAATAATGAGAGAATTCCTCCAGGAAGCTCACTTCAGTGTTGTTTACGAAGAGCCGGATGCCAAGATGCTTCAAAGAATCACAGCTCATTCAAACTACCAGTCTGCAGGAAAGTAGCCAAGGCAATAGAAAGAGATGCATTTTCAAAGAATATGAAGCCTGCCTACATTGGCATCTATGCATGGTTGATTAGCCAGTCAAAAATTGTTCCCTTTCCTTCTAGAGCAAGGAGCCTAGCCATGTTGTAACTGTTCTTGTTTACCAGCACAGGTTCAAATCTCTGTGACAAATGTATGGAGCAGAAAAAACTATACCAGACCCTTTTTAAGAAAAAGGATGCAAAGCTAACACAAGAAAGGGAATTTAATTTAAAATGAGAAATCCTCCAAACTTCCAAACTTTAAGGACTTGAGAAAATAAATAGCACAAATGCCAGAAAAATACTGACCAGTTAACTTCCTAGCAAAGCCCATAATATTTTTTTCTCTTGTCAAATGGCATATTCTTTGATTATTTTCTCATATGAAAACACTTCTGCAACATCATTTTATTTAGAAAGAGTAGAAGTGCAGTTTCAATTTTCTTTCAGTATAGATAATTGAAATTTCTTTTTATTGCAGGTAGGATAGTTAAAATGCACAGCTTTGAACAGAGACACACTTGCTCTTTGAAGCATCGCCATAGGTTTCTTTGCTACAGATGTAGCAATTTTTCCTTCCTTCTTTCTTTCTTTCTTTCTTTCTTTCTTTCTTTCTTTCTTTCTTTCTTTCTTTCTTTCTTTCTTTCGTGTGTTACAAGGGGATGACACCAAGGTCTGTGCATACTAGGCAAATGTTTTACCACTGAGCTACACTCTGTTCATAAAGTGTCAGCAATCTAACACATTCTATTTTATGTGATTTCTATCAAAAGAAAAACTTTAATGTAGTGCGATTGGTTGTTTTTGAGAGCTAAATCGTAATTTTAAATTCCCGATGACTGTGAAAGTTACCCTTGGGGCATCTACTGGCTCTGTGTATTTCAGCTTCCCTCTAGGTGCTGAGTACAGTAAGGCATAGTTTCACATGGCTGCCAGTCTTCCACCTTTGTGTTGTGACCTGAGTATATCTGCCCAGTGGAAATGTTTTCTGAGACACCTGATAACAAAGTAACTATTGTAAAAGATACTGCAAGTGACATAAAAATAAATCATAACAAATCTAAAGTAGCCTGAACTCACTTTCTGTTCCTACATCATCAGTACTAGTACTACCCAGTGAAGGGTACAGGAAGGATAGTGTGTTAGTCAGCTCTCCTTCCCTATAATAAAATACCTGAGGTAATTAACTTATAAATACAAAAGATTTGTTTTGGCTCACAGTTGTACTGGTGCCAGTCTATGGTTGATCTGCTATGCTGCTTTGGGCCAGTGGTAAGGTAACATATGATGGTGCGAGGGCCTGGAGGAGCAAAACCATTTACATATTATGGCACAGGAGCAAAGCAACAGAGGGAGAGATGGGTTCCAATATCCTCTTCAGGGTCATGCCCTAATGACCTAACTTTCTCCCCCTAGGCTCCACCTACTGAAGGTTCTATCACTTCCAATAGTGCTTCCCTGGGGACCAAGCCTTTAACACATGCACCTTTGGTGGATATTTAAGATCCAAATTAGAGTAGAAGGGTAGTCAGAGGAGAAAAGACTCAATGGTCTTGAGGAATTACAGTGGAAACACCTTACTGTCTACATATTACCAGAGCATGTGGACATGTTGCCAGACTCTCACCCACCTACCCCAAAGGATGTGCCTGGGTGAACGCTCTGGAGCTTCAGCTTCATGAATTTCAGGGCAAATCTGCCTCTGCCTTGAAGAATATAACTGTTTGCAAAAATGTAGAAAAACACACAGGTAAGTCAACAAAGAGGCGAGCAAGCAGCAACAGCTATGAAAATGCTCTGAATGGTAAACTGATGCTTTGAAATAAACAAGTTGTTATAGAAGCACCTGGAATGTACCACAACGACTGGGGGCTTAAAGAAAGAAGTTCATGTCTGTGCCAAAACCCCTGAGGTTGAAGTTATATATCAACTTATCCATCAAGCAACTCACCCTGAAGCAAGTTTGCTATAGACATGGATTTCCTATTAAGTGATGCTATCAGTGATAACTAGAAATAAACTTCAGTCCACTATCATAAAGACTGTCTTAAGCTTTATGCCAAGAAACAGGGTAGCTATATTCCACTTTCTCTTAAATCCCTTGGAGCTCTGGCATTCAAATGGGAGAGCTTTGTTGATAGTGTCTACTAACGAAGTATATGAATTCTGAGCAAATTTGGAAAAATGTATACTAAATGATTAATTGAATACCAAGAAATTATTGTTAAGACCATCTGGATGCTCAGGAGAGCACAGTATTAAAGAGATTCGAGGTAAAGCATAGTTCAGCTGGATTCAGTCTATTCACATTGACAGGCAGCTCAGAGCTACATTTGTCAACAAAAGCAAAGGATGTTTAGAAAGTGATTAAATTGTCTAAAATTAGGTTAACAGTGAAAAGGATCTCTCAGAGGAAAAGCAATGGATACTGTTCTAGTTTGCTTTCTGTTGCTGTGAGAAACACCATGACCAAAAGTAACCTGGGCAAGGAAAGAGTTTTATTTGTCTTACAGCTCACAGTCCATCATCCAGGGGAGCCGAGGCAGGAACTGAAGCAGAGACCATGGACGAATGCTACTTACTGGCTTGTTCCCTCTGGCTTGCTTAGCTAGCTTTCTTATACAGCCCAGGCTTTCTGGGTTGGCCCCTCCTTCATTAATTAGCAATCAAAAAAATGCCCCACAGATATGTCTACAGGTCAGGCTGGTGGAAGAAATTCCTCAATTCAGGTTCTGTCTTCCCAAGTATGTCATATTGACAACCACGATTAGCCATCAAAAGTAATTACCTGCCTTTTGTCAGCAACTGACTTGTGTGAGTGGAGTTTCTTAGACATGATATGAGGAGATAAAATAGATTAGCCTTCAGGAGGATCAAGTCTAGAGGGTTCTCTCAAGTATAAACTCTGTCTTAATAATATAAGTTTACCTTCATAGAAACAAGCTCAATGTTCTTACTAGAATTGCGAGTTTATTTGGAAGTATATATAAATTCATACTTAATGTACTTCTCTTGCTTTGCTCTGATATGGTCAGAAGTTACGATTCTGACCCTGATGCTCCATCTAGATAGCCCCATGTGGTAGTCTTCCCCAGTGTAACCAGTAAGTCATACAAATACTAACAGTCAGTCTATAGCCTTGAAGATAAAATATAGGAAGCATTTCTTGGTGTAAGTTCAATTCCTACTGCGTTCTGAGGATTCTTGCTCTGTTTGTAAAGATAGTGGTAGGCCCTCCCTCATTCTGTAGCCATGTAGACAAGATGCATAAATGCTCATGAAGCTCTTAGCACAGGACCTGGAACATAATTGCAACCCAGGCACCAGAAAGCTCTGGTTTCTTTTGCCTTGTGTAGGACAGAAATCAAGACAAGTGAAAGTTTATTGTAGAAAATAAGTGCAGACATCCCATAGGCAGAGCAGACAGGAACAAGGATACATGCTACATCTCATGGTGTTCGCGTTTTTTCCAGACAAGGGAGGAGGCGTTCAGTGCGCATGTGCCACTTTGCACACAGCTCAAAATATGCTTATGTTTTTGTTCTGGCTCCCTGGCAGGTGGAGATTTTCATTATGCTAATGTATTCTAATGAGGCATAATGAGGATCCAGGTCAGTTCCTGGTCAATTTCATTACCATCTTGATGGTAGCTGGCTTTAGCTGGTTTGCCAGTAACTCACTTTTGCTCGGAGCTCAGATTTTCTGCTTGCTTATCTCAACCAGGGCAGCTGCCTGCTTGTCTTCTGCTGGCTGCCTGTCTCATCAAAGCAAGAAGTATTAGGACACACGGGTGCTTTCTGTATTTTCTTTACCAGCTGACGTTTTGTCTTGGAGCTTGTACAACAAAAACAATGGGAATTTCGTCACTCACACCGAGGATTAGGTTCCCTCCTCATGAGGACCAAATGTCCACTGACTCATTTCATGTTCTTTCCCAGCATGCTCCTTGACAATAGCAACAGACTTATAAACAAACATTTGGTTTATGAAGGGAGGAAAAAAAAGTAAGAGAGGGATTTTCTTTAACCTAAGGAGGGAAAATAATATTGGGCCATTGTCAGAAAACACCTGCCATGCCCTTCTAGAAGCCTGGCATGCTGCTATTGAATGGTGGAGCTGAGCATTTGTTACTCTCTGATTACTTGCATTTCAAGGGAGGGGCAAGGATGGTCAGTATTCCAAAGTCTGTGTTTGTTTCCTTCAGAGAAAAAAGTTCACCATCACCAGCAGTGTCACTGGAGAAAAGCACACATTTGTCACTGATTCGGCCAAGACCTGTAAATACTTACTGGGCCTCTGCTCTGCTCAGCACAGGTTTAATGCACAGATGAGTTCTGAGCAGCCTCCTCATCTTTTAAGTGGTGAGTATATATTACCATCACAACACACACTTTGACAAGTTTATTCTTTCATAAAATAATTTCTATGAAAAGACATAGTTGAGCCAGGAATCACCAAAAAGTCTAAAATTGCTGCCAATAATGACAGAAACACAATAAAAATGAGGTATAGATTTTCTTCTCAGATTGAAAAAACTAAAATAAACAACACAAGGAGGGTAAATTGACACAATCTTCCCAGAATGCAATTGGAAAACAATCAATCTATTATCTATCATCTATCTATCTATCTATCTATCTATCTATCTATCTATCTATCTATCTATCTATCTATCTATCTATCTATCTATCTATCTATCTATCTATCTATCTATCTATCTATCTATCTATCTATCTATCTATCTATCTATCTATCTATCTATCTATCTATCTATCTATCTATCTATCTATCTATCTATCTATCTATCTATCTATCTATCTATCTATCTATCTATCTATCTATCTATCTATCTATCTATCTATCTATCTATCTATCTATCTATCTATCTATCTATCTATCTATCTATCTATCTATCTATCTATCTATCTATCTATCTATCACCTATCTATCTATCACCTATCTATCTATCTATCTATCTATCTATCTATCTAAGCATTATTTCTCCTCCTGTTCATAAAAGGGAACAATGAGGGACAGTGTTTGACAGTGTAATAAGCTCCTGGGAACTTGCCAGGGATACAGAATCTCAGATCCCATCCCACACTCACTGAATCCATATGTGCAGAAGAACCTAAGTGATTTGAACACAAGGACAAGATGGAGAAGCTGTGGCTAACAATGAGGCCTGTAGGGTCCCATAGACCCAGCCAAGTGCCGCTTAGCAGTGGTGTGGCTTTTGGTAGCTCATGTCCTCTGTCTGAGCCTATGTCCTCATTTAAACAACAATGACCCTCTCAGGTTTGTGTTGAGCTCCAAGTGCAACAGAGATGCAACAGTTTTAGCTTAATGCTCAGCACTCAGTGTACCATGTGAATGGTGGCAGTGGCTTCGGCCTATGGGGTTTGGTTCTGTGCCAGCCAACTTATATGGCCTCCATAACACTGGGTTTTAGAAGCCAGTCCGTGACTTGAAATCAATGGGGAACAAAATCAGAGTTCTCAAAGACCCAAACACAGAGAGTAAAGAAAGGCAGCACAGTACAGCAGAAGAAACAAACACATGAGTATTGAAATCATGGACTGCTAGTTTCAGGATATTTCCAGGGAGATGGAGATGATGAATGCGAATTAATTAGACCCCATTACCTGACATTACTGAGATACCATGTGTGAAGCGCTATCAATACTGCATTTATTGCCCGATTTCAGCAATGTTAAAATATTTATACAGACTCTTTGAGCTCACTTGTGAAAATAGTCCTTCCAGGCCTGTTTTGTTCATAATATACTGTTTTCTCAGCCTGCAGATTCTGTCATCTTAGGAGTGTTCAGGAATCTCACTTTCATTTACATTCAAAAGACCCATGTAGTTGATTCCCCTTGCTTCTTAAGAATTTCTGTATGAGGACTCTCTGCAGATACCATTCTCTCACTCTCTTTCTCTCTCTCTGTGCATATGAGTGCATGTGTATGTACATGCATGTGGAAATTAGAAGACCAACCTCAGGTGTTGTTCCTCAGGAGCTGTCTACCTTCTGTTTCAAAACAGGGTCTCTCACTGTCCTGAGGCTTGCTGATTAGGTTAGTTTGACTGGCCAGTGAACTTCAGGGTTCTGCCTGTCTCAACCTCCTCAGTGCTGGGATTAAAAGTGCTTTCCTCTATGTCTGACTTTTCTGTGTGGGTTCTGGGGTTCAAACTCAGGTCCTTGTGCATGTGGGACAAGCACTTCACCAACTGAGCCATCACCTAGACCCCAGACACCATTTTCAATGCTGTACAGAGTAGAGAGCTGACCACCTCTTTCTGTCCCCTGATTCAGTTCCATGGTTGGTTTCTTCCATTGGCTTCTCTTCGCCATGATCTTTGTCTTGTTCCAATGGGACTATCTGTCACCCACTCTGCAGAAAACTGAAAATGATCTATACCCTCTCTTCCCACCTCACGTCCAGTGGGCTTGCTGCCGAGACTCACATCCTTGTTAGCTAGAATTTATTATTTTTATTTTATGTGTGTGAGTATTTTGCCTGCACGTAAGTGCACCTATGTTATACAGTGACTGTAGAGGCCAGAAGGGGGCATTAGATGCACTGGAACTGGAGTTATGGATGGTTGTTAGCAGCCATGTGGGTGCTGGGAATTGAACCTGGGTCCTCTGCAAGAGAGATCTTAACTGCTGAACCATCTCTCCAGCTCCATTAACTGGCCTTTTGAAAGGACCAATTCAGTCATATTCTTCCATGTTGAAACTTGCCCACAGTTCCATGTTGTCAGCAGAGATAAGTCCTATGTCCTGAGGACAGCGTGTCGGACTTCTTCCAGTTCTGGCTCCAACCTTAGCTTCTTTCTTGTCCCACTTCCTCTCTTGCTTTCCAGCTGTCTTGCATGCCATCTTGATGCTGCCAAAACACCATGTCTCAGGTTTCTAGGCCTTTGTTCTCATTGGCTGTATTGGTTAGTATTGGTTGTCAACTTGACAGGGTCTAGAATCAGCTATGAGACAGGCCTCTGCACATGCCTTGTGAAGGATTATCTGAATTTAGGTTAGTTCTGGGTATGCCTGTGAGGGATTTAGACTAGATTAACTGAGGCGAGACGACCCACCTTAACTATGGGTGGCATCATTTCTATGGGTGGGGTCCTTTTCTAAAAGGGAGAAAGCAATCTGATCACCAGCATTTATCCCTCTGCTTCTTGCCTGTGGAAGCAATGTGACCAGCAATCTCATGCTCCTGTTCCCATATCTTCCCTGCCGTGATGGACTTCCCCATGAACTGTGAGACAAAATAAACCTTTCTTTCCCATAAGTTGCTTTTGTCAGGTATTTGATCACCACAATGAGAAAAGAAATCAATACAGTGACCTCCACCTGGGATGCTTTTCCAACCCCTCTGGACTCATACTACCAAGATGAGCCCAGTTCTAGAGTAAGTTAAAGGGAACCTCTACCTTGAAGTCCTTCCTGATTGGCTGCCCCCATCCTTCCCAGATGGAGTGCACCACTGCCTCCTTTTGCAGACCTCTGTCTTTTCATCGGTAACATCGTCTATTTTCTGTTGTGTCTACATCTGTCTCTAGTTTGTGATACATGAATTTCTTAATGGTAGGGGCAGTATTCCACAATCTTCCCAGTTCTATTACAGACCAGAGATATGCCAAATAGGAAGTGGTTGATACATGTTTTTTAAATTGACTCATTGGTTAATTAATTGTAGTCCAGACTGGCCTTAAACTCATGATCTTCCTGCCTTAGCCTTCCAAGTGCTGGCTTATAGGTTTGTGCTACCAGGCCTGGCTCCAATACCTGTTTCTTAAATGAAGGAATGAATGGATAGATGATTTAGATGGAAATAAAGTTACTTAATAGTTTTCTTCTTTTGATATTACAAATGATACTGGGATAAACATCATTGGAGGAAATATTTTTCTGGCTCTAGTGTCATTGCTCAAGCTCAGGAGTATAATTAATGGTTTCGAAGCTAGGGCATTTTGAAGGCCTGTGCTGTATTCCTGAGTGTGGTGTTGATGCCCCCATGTTATCCTGCCTGGTTTTTTGCAGAGTAAATGTCATTGGGTTTTCTGCATCATTTGATAGGTAAAAACGATTTCCGACTGTTGCTTTGTTTTGTTTCTTTGATGGGTGAAAAGCTGAACATTTTCCAACTGTTTCTTAGTCATTCTTCTGTGAATTATCTCAACAAGCACATTATTTCATAGCTATATTTGGAGAGAATATTTTTCTTTTTACCTTGGAGAAAGAAAAATCACTGAACTTCTATGAGTGTACAATTCCAGGACTAAATGAGGCAGGATCTGTCATTACTGCCTAGTGAACCCACAGCCTTTTCTCAGCCCTTTCTGCTGGGGGCGGTTCAGGGCTATGGGGATGTGCTTGGCCCTTCTGGGAGCCTGTGCTTACAGGATTGCCCTTGGGATGCCCAGGGTTTCACCTTAGTGACTTTTCCCTGGTGGCCTTGGCTCATGGTATTTGGGAATTTGGGATGCTATAAATAACTTGGACTTGATTCTTCAACATCCAGACACATTCAGATATCTATCTATCAGCTACTTTATTGGTGTAATCCACAGGCAGTGGACAGACACTTTTCCCTTGGCATTCCAGTGGCTTTGAGACATCCTTTCTTCCATCCTTTCTTGGCAACCCTTTCTTCCATTTCTGAAAGACCACCACTCTTGGCTCTTCTACCTAGCAAAAGATATTCCCCACACTGTTGGTGTACCAGGGCAATGCCACGGAGATGGAACTGAGGCCTGCTGACATCGGTCCTCTGCTTCTGCTCAGTCTGTCACACTGAGTGCTTTGTTCCTGTGATCTCCATCTCTCACCTTGCTACCTGGCTTCTGTCCTGTGTACAGAGTGGGACTGGTGACAATGGTCCCCAGTTCCTGCTGAGTCTGTGATACTGAGTGCTTTGCTCCTGTGATCTGCCCCCATGCCTCACCTTGCTGTGTCACCTCTAACGTATGCATGGAGTGCCCCTTAGCCCCCAATACTCTCCAGTTTTTCACTGGGGACATAGCTCCTCTAAGAACTGAGAAATGTGGGGCTAGCACCCCTCTGCTCCCTTCTATGCTTCTCTTTTCCTAAGGGACAGATGCTTCCTGGAATCTCAATCTCTCCATAGTCCTGTTTGAAACCACTAAGCCTCTCTGGACTGAGACCTGCCTTCCCATCTCTGTCTAGGAACTTCCCAAAGGGGTTAGGAGTCATATCTGCCATGGTTAGGTCCAAGATCACTGTCCCTTCAGGCCCTGGTGATGGGAAGGTTGGGGGTAGTTTAGGTGACTCTCCAGCGCTGCAGTCTGTGGCTCAGGGTCTTTGCCATTCTCACTGTCCAATGTGGACTAAGGAGTAAGAAGACTGAGTGTGAAACCTGCTCTAACACTGTCTTTGGGGCCAGAATTAAACTATCAATTTTCTCTTAGCTTCACATTTCCTTACCTATAAAATAGATTCAATCTCTACCTTAGACAGTTAACAGTCAATAGTGAATGAGAAAATGCAGGTAACAGGGCTTGCCACTGTTCCTGCCACGTAGGATGTATTTCATCAACACTAGCTATTGGTATTGTGTTGTATCTGACAGGCCTAAGCTCTGGAGTCAGACTGAAATTTGTGCAAAATTCACGTCATGTTCAAATTACTCACATTCCTCCATCCTTTCTTGACTACTGTATGTGAGGGATGGTACCCCAGTCCTCCTATACCTCCATATTCTCCTTTTAAATAGTTAGCTTTTTCAGAGGGAAGAGCCCAGTCAACAAACCAGACACTACTGTAGGAAAGAGAGGGTCTGCTTGAGTAATTAAGTGTTCCCTACTCCCTCAAGCAGAGGTGCTTTACCTTACTGTACTTTACATGTGCATACCCACACATGCACATCACATTCACAGGTAACAGAAACATACCATATACATACATCATATCTCACACATCACATCCCAAATACACTGTACCCCCACATGCACACACAGATACCACATACACATATATACATAGATACCATACATACACACATACAGAACAATGGGGGAGGGGGCCCATGAACATTATGCATACTGATTTTCTTCTTGGTTTTAGTAGGGAAGAGATGGCTTGCAGACAGCCAACATTTTCTTCTCAAAATACAGATGCAAGTCAGGCATGATGGTGCACACATGTAATCCCAGCACTTAGGAGGTGAAGGCAAAGGATCAGGAGTTCAAGGTCATCCTTGGCTACAATGAAAGTTCCAGGCCAGCTATAAGAGACCCTATTTCAAAAACAACAACGACAACAAAACAAACAAATCAACAGCAACAAAAGATGCAGCTTTGAGCAAAACCTTGCTAACTTAAGAGATCTATCGATTAAACCCCAATTTTCTATGAACAACACAAACACTTTTAGTAGGGTGTCCCTCATGACAATGGTCTTGATTTCAAGGTGTCACCAGACTCATTTATTCAGCTTTCTAAGAAGAGACAAAGGAAGGAATCGAAAGTGAGGGTCCTATGCATATAATGTATGCTTACATGTCAGACAAGAGATTCTTACATGGGATAGTACTGCCAGGGCAAAGGAAGTTGTATAGCGAGAACCCAGGTGCTTTGACGTCCCATTGGACTTCAGTCCTTCCCACAGTACTGTTTGTGAGGGCAGATCTATAAGGGTAGATGCAGAACAGGCTGTGGCAGCTAACTTTTTCCAGGCCCTTCAGGAGCTTTGGGTAGCACCAGTTAGAAGAGGCTCCTTCCTGTATCCTATTCTATCAGCTATAGGATGAAGAAGCGTCGTGTCTCTCTTTTCTTAGGTTTCTAAAGGGCCTTTCATTAGCAAGTGCTGATCACAGGGACTCCCCAAATTAGCAGAAGGTAAAATGTCAAGTCTCTTAGTGAGAAAAAGAACAAGGAAAAGAAAGCCAGGGTCAGGGGTGTATCATTTCAAGAGCAATGAAAGAAACCAGTATCATCTTGTGTGTCTGTCCTTTTCTCCTCTAATTCAGGTCAGGATAAGTTTTTACAGATAGCCAACTTGAACTCTGCACACCAGGCCCAGGCCAACCCTCTCACTTGGATTCAGAGACTGTCAAGCTCAGAAAATGAGTTGTGTGTACCCAGGTTGCAGAATGCTGTGGGAGGCCCACTGAGTGCATCCCTGGAAAATGTCAACATGGAAAGCAGCAAGAAGACCAGGACAGAGGGAATCAGAAGCAGGTAGGCTTTGTTCCTTCCTCTGAGTCTAGACTACCAGGCACTGGAGCCACCTGTACCCGAAGCAGGTGTTTAAAGAGTGTTGGAGCCTACAGAATGTGTATGTTCACTGGGTTGCTGTCAGCAGTAACTCCTTGTTATTGACTGGGTTTGTACTGCATAGTGAGGCATGCTTGCATCCCCAGAATTTGGGCAATAATTTTCTAAGCAAGCATCTCAGTTAATAGATTTACTGGAGACTACAAAGCTTAAGGTGGTCATCATAGGGCCAGATCTCACTTCCTTGCCCTCCTGCTTATGTCTTCTGGTGGAAATAGTCAGATGATAACTGGAAACTGAGGAGGGAAAAATTCATATATGCCAATAAGCCTTTTTGGCTTACGGTAAGCTGTTGGCACTTGTTCATACCAGCTGACTTAACCCATATAACTCTGAAATATTTTCATCATTATCCCCATTTTCCAAAAGGGGAACCTGAAGGAGTTAGGATTCAAACCCATCAATCTGCCCTGGGGACTGTACTCTTAACCCTAACATCATGCTGCCTTCCAGGTTGATGGGTTGCTTGTCATTTAAATTCAATTGTGAAACAAGGAACTCATAAATGCAGTGTTCCATTGTAAAACAATGATCCATACATTTAAAAATAGCCTAGAACTTGGATTACGCTTAAAATGCAAGTTATATAAATAGCATTGATTCCCAGGCTGTGCACGACTGAGGAGGGTTACTGCAGGAGCTGTTTTTTGTTTGGGGGAGGGGCGGGGGCGAATTATACATCTGCTCTAGCAGGAGGGAATGGATGATTCATTTGAACAGAAATGCATGTACATATGTAGATACCTTAAAGTAATGCTTAGAAAATTATTGCCCAAATTCTGCTGATGCAAACGCATTATGCAGCACAACTCAATCAATAATAAAGAAGCAAAACTGTTCTGAGCATCTGTGGCTGTCTAACGGACCAACCCAGCACAGTGGCATGAACCAATGGCCATTTTGTTACAACTTTGTGGGTTAGAAAATGAGGCAGAACTTGGTTGCATGATCCTTCAGCTTCATGTGGTATTAAGGGGGTCATGATGGTTCCCCTGTGGGGAGGTGGCTGGGATATACCGCATGCTAGTCCTGTCTCTCTCCCTATGTAACCTTGAGCTCTTTCGATACAGTGGCTCTAGCAAGGGTCTTCACAGCTGCTCTGGGCCCTGAGAGCACAGGGAGAGCTGACCAGTCCTCCAAGTCCAACCTGGAGCCACCATGTCATTCCTTTTGCCATCAGTCCCAGCTCGGCACAGACTCAAAGGGAGTAGAAATGGGGTACACCTCAATGTGTGAGAGTCAGAGGATCTGTGGCCATCTTTTATCAGTCACCCACACCCATGGCACTTTATAGCACTTTGTTGTTTCGAAGGCAGAAGTGGGCTGGTGGGATGGCTTAATGGGTAAGGCACTTGCCACCATGGCTGGCAACCTGAGTTCTATCTCTAGGACCCTGTGCTGGACAGCTTTAGTGTGAACTTGACACACCTGGGTTGAAGGAGCCTCAATTGGGGAATTGACTCCATTAGACTGGCCTGTGGCCATGTCTGTGGGGCATCTTCTTGATTGTTGAGTGATGTGGGAGGGCCCAGCCCACTGTGGGTAGTGCTACCCCTGGGCAGGTAGCCCTGTGTTGGATAAGAGAGCAAGCTGAGCAGGGGTCAGGGGAGCAAGCCAGTAAGCAGCATTCCTCCATGGCCTGTGCTCCAGTTCCTGCCTCCAGGTTCCTGACCTGAATTCCTACTTTGGGCTCCCTGATGAATTACAACCTGGGAGATGTAAGCTGAATAAACCCTTTCCTCCCCAAGTTGGTAGTGGTCAGAATATTTTGTCACAGCAATGAAGAAACAAACTAGGACAGACCCACATGATAGAAGGAAGAACCAACTTTCACAAGTTGTCCTCTGACCTCCACATACACGCTGTGGCACATGTGCGCTCACACATGTGAATATACATATACACATACACACACCCACAAAATAAATGTAATTAAAATGTGAATTAAAAAAAGGAAAAGGCAGAAGCAGCCATGTCTGATTTAAGGCACTGTACTAGCTTTCTGTTGCTGTGATAAAACACCTGTGATAATCAACCTAATAAGAAGAAAGGTTAATTTTGGCTCACAGTTTGTAGTTTCAATCCATGGTCAACAGGCTCCAGTGATTTTGGGCCTATGGTGAGGCAGCACACCATAGCAGATGTTTGCAGTGGAGGAAGCTTGACTTCACAGTTGGAGGAAAAGAAGAAGGGCTAAAGGAAGGAGTTGGACTTCTAATATCCCCTCCCTTTAAGAACACAGAGGCCTAAGGACCTCTGCTGTGGTTTGGACAGGAAGTGCCCTTTAAAAAGGCTCACACACTGAGAACTTGGCTCCTGGATGGTGACAATATTTTGGGAAATGCTGGACATTTTAAGAGGTGGTACCTGTGTGAAAGAAATAGGTCACCGGGGGAAGGTCCTTAGGGGTATGTTGTGTCTGGCCCCTTCTGTCTCTCCACTTCCTGTCTTCCATGAGGTGAGTAACCTCTGCTGTGTGTTTCCACCACCATTATGTTCTACCTCTCTGACTCCAAAATCAGCAGTGTCAAAGACTATGACCTAAAAACCTCTGACACTGTGAGCCAAAGTAAATCCTTCCTCCCTTGCGCTGCTTATCAGATATTTTATCATAGCCACACAAAGTCTGACTAGTATAGCCTCGTACCGTGCTTGCCTCTTAAAGGCCCTGCTTCCTAATAGAGCCACATGCAAGGACCTCGCCTTTAACACATGGACTTTGCAGGACACTTCTCCAAACCATAGCAACCATCTCGAGAAAAGTCTTGACTACATTAGTCTTGAGAACAATGGGATTTCCAGCGACCAGGGTCATCATGGTGGGGGCTCTTCAGCACTGCCTGGAGGCCTGCCACCCAACAGGAAGATGAAAGAGTTCAGTAAACTCCACTGCTTCTGCCTCTCATGCTCAGGTCGGGGTTACTTCATGAATGACCAGTTTGCACAACCCCATATAACCCGCTTCAGAGGTTACTGGTGACCTTTAGGTGAAGCAGGAAGTCTAGGACTTGACTGAGTTCTTGGCCATTTGGAAGTCCTACTCTCTGCCCCTCTTTGCCCCCGAGAAGCACAACTGGAACCAGTGACTTGAGGCAGGTGGGTTTCTATGGAGATGGGTCCTTGAAGGAGTGAGCAGGAGAGTGAGTTGGGCAGGGGAGGTAACATCAGTCCAGGGGGGGCAGGTCATAAAGGAACTGTTGGGGGCAACCAGGGCTCAATTCCACTTCTAAGGAAGTGTACAGAAGGCTTCTCACAGTTATCAATAGAAGGACTGGAGGGTGGACAGTCAAGTACCCGTGCCATCCTCTTCTGACTGAAGGGTATCTGTCGGGAATTGGCTCCCTCATACTTTTGGATAAGGTGGGAGAAGGGAGTGGATGAGGGGGGCTCCCAAGGTGTACAGGAGGCTCTAGGGAAGAAAGAGGACTGCATTTTAAGTAGGACATTGTCAGCATGAGCTAAGCTGAGCCTGCTCCCATGGCTGAAGTTGAAGACCAAGGTGGACTAAGGGCTGTGATGGTGTCTGTAGTGCATTGACTCTCTTGGTGACACAGAAGACACACTCAACTTTCTGCTGTGGCTTGTGTAAAGATGACTCAGCCAAAAGTGCTCTTCAGTTTGGGCTATGGAGTGATCTCAGTTTCATGAGGGTCCCTTGCCAATTCCTGCTTAGCTGTCTAGGGCTGTATGATCCTGAGCAAGCTAGTTAACATGCGCATGCCTCAGTTTCCTCATCCAACCACTGTTGTTAACAGTAATACCCACCCTGTTGGATGGCAGTGGCAATTAAACGATGTGATCAAACACTGGGCGTTGGCAGAGTGCGTGGTCCTGATGTTGGAGCACATTCCTTAATTTTTAGGACAGATAGTAAGAACACACCTCCTCTTATGTGGGGCAGGATGGGTTAAAGGCTTCTCCCCGTTTGTTTTCTGTTGCTGTGATAAAACATCATGACCAAAATCAACTTGGGGAGGAGAGAGTTTATTTGGCTTACATGTCACAGTCCATTATCAAGGAAAGCAGAAGCAGGAATTCAGGGCAGGAACCTGGAGGCTGGAACAGAAGCACAGACCACAGAGTAGGACTGCTTACTGGTTTGCTCCTCTGGCTTGTGCTCAGCCTGCTTTCTTGTACAACCTAGGACCACCTGCCTAGGAGTGGCACCACACACTGTGGGCTGGGCAGTCCAGTATCACTCAACAGTTAAGAGAATGCTTCCCAGATGTGCCCTCAGACATGCCCCCAGGCCAGTCTGATAGAGGAAATTCCCCAGTTGAGGTTCCCTCTTTCCAGGTGTGTCAGTTGACAGCTGAAGCCAACCTTGACAAGGCCTGAGACAGGCATAGGTACAGCACTGTGGCTCCCTTGCTGGTGAGGATTGGAGAGGGTTGCTTGGAGAGGTGACATCAGGTCTTGATTGGCAGGTAGGATTTGGATTCAGTTATGGGAAAGCCTGTTAATCCTACTAGAAAAATTAGTTCAGTGCCTACTGCATGCCTGGCCTGGCTGGGTGCTGATGACTCAGTATTAATAGGATAGACATGGTCCCTGCCTCCTGGTGCTCAGACCAGACAGGATCACATGGGAATGATGGCTTTGCATTTGAGGCATGTGGCTGGAACCAGGGTGGGAAGGACGGGACGGTTTGTGATGCTGACACTGAAGGGCTCTCCCATTACCGCTGCCGTATACAGCAGTTCTTTATACAGAGCTTCTGGGAACAGAGCTGCTAGCCACCTTCCTGTCACCTCAGAAGCCTTTCCTGACTGCCCAGCCTTTGCTGGCTCCTCCATTCCACCGGCTCCATTTAGGACACCCCCTCCCTGTGTCTGCCCACCCCAATATGCACATGCTTTTATCCGTCTGCTCTGGTAAGTGCTGAAACTCCTAAGAATAGCAACATGCCAGTTGTATCCCCAGCACTGAGGCCAGAATGTGGAAGTTTTCAGTAGATAGATTTTGAAAGGTTTGCATTTTAAGAAAAAAAAAAAAAAAAAAAAAACCTCTTTAACACCCAAACCATACCTGAAAGAAAAGTGCTAAATGAGGTGAACAGTTGGGTGGC